GGACCCTTTTACACCTGTTTACCGAAAAATATTGGTCAAGAATATGATAGCAACATTTTTTTTAAGTAAAATGTCTACCATTGAAACCAAGCAACAAGAGATTGAGGTAGACGTCAAAGGCATCAAGCCTTTATAAGGAAGGTGTCAAAGACAAAATAATGATACGGAAAGGGGCTTAAGATCCTACAGTCACCCCTCCTAATACATTACAGCACAATGTCATGAACTTGAGAAATGTCAACATTCAATGATGCAGGCTTATTAAGTGTGACCGATCGCCGACCCGCTTCCATCAATAAGAAAAGCTAGAGCATACTTGGAGGAATTGGAATAACGACTTTGCTAAGCGCTTCTTTCCGAAATGTAACCCAATTCGAGAAGTAAAAGCAGGATATTGGTATCACGTGGTTACTTCTGATTACGTACACTAGACAAAGCTCATGCTTCGGGCACAAGTTCGGGCAGAAGATAGCGTATGAGAGGGTCAGTTAAACTTCATGCCTAAGGCTACGGATCTGTCAGGGCGCTAAGTACAGGAGAACCCTCAATAAGAAGTTGTGATGTTACGATAGTAACCGAAGTTTAAGGACTACCGCTCACTAGGCCTTTTGATGATATTAAGAGCGTGCTGACAACCAACTGGATCGTTCAAATGGGTTTGCTAGACACAAGTTAAGCTGTTATTAGAGTTTTAAATGGACGTACAAGTTTGATATCTCTTACTTGTTGAGTTTTGCAGATACTTTCCAGCTAATCGGAGTGCTGACATTCGCTGGTACTCCGGCTCCTGCAACCACTTCCACATGCGCCTGAAGGTCTCTCTGCCCGACTTTAGCTTACTCCATGGTTTTGGGTTCCTGAGCAAGTCAGACAGGGTGCCCTGACTTCGGCAAAGCACCCTCTGTGCGAAGACTGCCTGTGGAATGCTGTAGCGTTTCAATTCGGCACTCACTCTCTGTGCCAACTCTTTGGTGTTCAACTCCTCATTATCCGACATCTGACTGAGTTGAAGATCATTGTGGCTTTGCGAAGCTAAAGCATTGACTACCATTCCCTTCTGAAAGCCTGTCCATGATTCAACCGATCCTGCTGAGTCCGTGTCTGCAATCAGTTAATACTAGAGTAGAAAGGTAACGGTATAACTGCCGCTACTCGCATATTCCCCTCTGCATAAGCTATCCGA